ACAGGTACCATAGATTTCATATTCGGAAATGCAGCCGCAATATTTCAAAACTGCAATATGTATGCTCGAAAACCGATGGCAAATCAGAAGAATGCAGTGACAGCCCATGGAAGAACCGACCCAAACCAAAAAACTGGAATCTCAATCATTAATTGTACTATTGGAGCTGCCCCGGACCTCGCGGCTGACCCAAAACCGGCCATGACATTAATTTCTTGGACGGCCATGGAAGCCCTACTCGAGGACTGTATACATACAATCATACATTAGTGATGTTGTCCAACCGGTTGGGTGGCTAGAATGGAATGGTACAATCTCCTATGGTGAATATGATAACTTTGGACCGGGGGCTAATACAAGCAAGAGAGTCCAGTGGTCAGGGTTTAGCCTATTGAACTTGGCACAGGCTATGAATTTCACCGTATATAATTTCACTTTGGGAGACACTTGGTTGCCTCAGACAGATATTCCCTTCTACGGCGGTTTGCTTCACACCGAATGAACAACTCCTATACCTGTTATATATAGTTAACCGACCTTGCCTCATTTAAATGCAATAAAAAGTTATTCATTTTTGTTATTTTGTTTTCTTTGATAAAGTCATTTTTGTTATTTGAAATCTGAATTTGGTGTTAGTTTACTAGCTAGCTATAATAAAGTGTTGGACGGCTCATGTATTATTGATATATATTAATGTTAAAACCAATTCATTTGGTATCAATGAAACAATCATTTTGACATGAACTTCCAGTTTTCTATAGAAGATTTTTTTTTTTAAATATAGAAACTTGATATCATGCAGTTGCACAGGATTTTATAACCTAGTAGTTTAGCCATGTCATGTCATAACCCGGACTCGATTGCTATTAGCGTGCGTTGTTGATCAAAGAACAAAAAGAAATAGTATGATTTTCGTGAAGGAAATAACCTCGAATATATATTGTATAAATACATTAATAATTCTATAAAATAATAATATTGAGATTACAATATTTTAAAAATTTATATAGTTATTAGTTTATCGGAAAAGAAACAAAATTAATCTAAACAAAAAAGAATTCTATTCAAACAAATTATTAGTTATATTTTTCTTAATGTTTCCTTTATTTTTTACATTTTTAATGTTTTCATATTCCTATAAATATGTATTGTAAGTAACTATCATCTCAAAACGTGTAAAACTTCATAAAGGAAAATAAATTGACTTTTATGATGACATTTGATGATCATGGTAAAAACAAATTCAGAAACTTTGGAAGACACACATTAAATGACAAAATCTGGAACGTTTAAATTGTATGTTCGTAAGAAAACAGATAAGATTTTCGACTAGCCATAATTTTTTCCGGCCAGCCTTTTCCGT